TAATGTACACTGAGTGCGCACCAATTCTGTCAGTGAAAAACGTTATAAGTTATTTGTATATTATGCAGGTTCACAATTTAGAAGTAATTGATCAAAATGGTGTTCAATTGGGAGGAGGAAATACCATAAAGATATTGGATGATCAAGGGACAATTGACACAAAATATAATGTACTCAACAATAGTCAGTACATATTAAACGATAGTAATATAAAAGTATTGGATCCGAGTACATTGAAGGTTTTTGATGCCAATACTACAATCTTGGATGTGACTAATGCAAAGCTTGTCAACAATAATATTGCCCTAAATAACAGTGGTGTCAAAATAGTTGACAGCAATGCAATAGTACATTACAATAATAAAAGTACATTAAATTCTGAAGGTAATGTAATGCAACCAACAATTTCGACGAAACGAAAAAGAGATGAGAAACATATAAATAACAGTAATTTGAATCTAAATTCGATCGAGTTAAGAAAATCGAAGACAAAATCACAAATTGTTAAAAAATATCAAAATACTTGCGATGATTTAGACGAGGCCAGTACAAGCTTGCCATTTATCAAGTGGCTTGCTTCGATAACCGAGCGAATAAATCAAACGATGCATTTCCAGTTCGATGGCAAACCCGATCCCTTAGTATTTCATGTACCGCAGATATTTTTTGACTGTTTACGCGAACGAATATCATGTGGCGGCAAAAAAAAACGCTTGCCGAATTCAACGACGGCGTTTGTCAGGAAAGATGGAGTACCATTGGGAACGTTCACTAAATATACATGGCAGATTACAAATATCTTGCATGTAAAGAGTATTTTCGAGACACCATATATACCTTTGGAGATTACAAGAAGTTTTGTGCAAAACGCAGATGGAACATATGAATTATATAAACGAGAGGAAACAGAAATAGATCGTTTTAAAAAGACGAATAACAACGCATTGATTAAACCATTGGAGTTGAAAACATATTTAAAAGTGGGTAAGTGAAAGTTTAGTATGCAAAGAATGATTAATTACTTACTAAATTATAAAATAAAAATAAACAATCAGTTCAAGGGTAATGAGAGTCAAAGCAGTTGAAGATGCCCAATGATTAAATTACAAAACATTAATTACTTTTCATTGTACAAAATTTTTATTTTTGAACGTTTCAGCTCTCTTTGGAGTCCTCTTCAGCAACATTACAAATCCTAACTCATTTTTATTGAACCATCCGTCAAAAGTAAGTCACTATCAGGTTCCCAACAATGTTGGGAAGAGGACTTGAGAAGAGGACTCCAAAGAGAGCCAAAACGTTCAAAAATAAAGAAGATTTTGTGTAATGGAAAGTAATTAATGTTTTGTAATTTAATCATTGGGCACCTTCATCTGCTTTGACTCTCATTAGCCTTGAACTGATTGTTTATTTTTATTTTAAAGATTGAGAGTTCGTTTTTAAATTTTATATTTTTTACTAAATTATTTGTCGAGAGATTTAAGAGCTTAATTATTTATTTATTAAAAAAATTTATCATTAATAGAAAAGATGGTATTAATTAGACATTTTTATGTAATATATGCTTTTGTTTCGTTTATTTTCAGGAAATACTTCTCCGAATCAAGTTGAACCTACACCATTCTTGATAGAATGGATACCGGATATTTTGCCAATTTCGAAGATCGGTGAGCTTAGAATTAGATTTGAATTTGGACATGTAAAAAACGAAACAAGTCATAAATGGAGGAAAATTGCTTTTTCTAAAACTGATTAAAATTTTTATTTTTGAAATTAACGTTTTTATTTTTTTATCTTACATTTTTAAATAATATATGAGGATTTTTAAAACAAAGAACAAATATTATATGACATGTAATTAGAGAACAACTGTCTGATTAAAAGTTAGGACAGCATATATTGCAATATTATCATTTAAATTATTTTAAATAATTTAAAATTTATTAACAGAATTAAACTTTAAGTGATAAGTACCGATTAGATGATTAAACCTATAAGATAATTGTATCTTTATAACATATGAATATTAATTAATATGCTTTTATATCACGAATTCAAAGACTGATGTAATTTTCACAATTAAACAATTGTAGTATAACTTAATCTGAAAATATCAATTTTGCTTTCTAATTAATGATAATTGATAAACCTTTTCTTCACGTATTGTCTTTATGTAGTTACCCCTACATAACAATTCCTTTTTCTTTATTTTATATCTTGTATTCTTAACTTAATTTAATGAGAAAAGTATCAAATATCATAATCATGAAATGTGTTAATGTTATTAATAATTGCATTATAGTGTTTGAAAAATATTTGTAATATATATTGTAAATATATATACTTTAGATTTTATGCTGTTATGTAAAAAGATATATATATTTATATTATTTAACATTATTAGATCTGTTTTGTGAATATTTGAATTTATTTAAATCATATTAATTATGCATATATATATATATATAAATTTACTTAAAAATGTACTAATTATATGTAAAAATATAAGTAATTAGCTTTATGTAATTAATTTATCAATATACAGGGTGTTTCCAAATTAAATGGCAAAACTTCGGGAGCGTGTAGAGGAGTAAAAAACTAAGAAAAAAAGTCCTAT